TTGAACCGGGGCCTTCTGGGCAAAAGTCAGAAGTCAACCAGTAAACCTGGTTCAAAGTAAAGGCTTTAGAAGGCTTGTATTTGGGATCATTTTGTGACCTTTAATCTGATGTTATCTGATGCATCTGGGAGCATCACTTGTGTTATCAGCGATTATTATTTTTCTGAGCGATTTTTGTTTCTGAGTTCTACCTCATTTTCTGATCAGTATAACACCTTGCACCTGATCAATTATCTATTTACTCTGGGGAAAATCAATCACCCCCTATTAGTGATTGCGCAACTGCGGACAGTCAATCCGGGTTAAATCAAACCAGTGAAAAGTTTGAAAGATTAAAATTCTTTCAGACGCTGCGCCCCCTTGCTGGCCGATCCAACCCGCCCTCCCAGGCCCCTGCGGAGCAGCGACATCTCTGCAACCCCGACTTCAGGGTCCTTTGGATCCCTCCAGCCATCCGCCGTTGGCATCTAAAGGGGGGGACTTTGTGGGGTTGAGAGAGTGCGTGGCGAGACCCGAGCGTAGCATCCTTGCTCGGGCTCCACACATGCAAAAGAGTCACAAAGCGCCACCAGAACCAAGGTCCTGAATGGCACCCGGTTACGGCTTGGCGGAACTGGGTGGGAAGATTATAATCAATAACGAATGTCAAAGTCCGTGAGGCTCCGAAGCCATCACTCTGCGAGTAGCCTTGCCTACGTACGGTTGCTAGCAAATTCACTGATTTCCTTCTCTGAGGACTTGTCTTGTGTGCAACGTGTATTGTGTGATTGAGATATCTTGAAGGCTTTGATCTTGGTTCGATTTCTGGGCGTTGTGTGCACTGGAATAAAAGAGTGCTTAAGGGACTCCCTTCAGGAGGATCCGGCCTCCTAAAGGCTGAGTACGGTTTTATCTTATTTCACATAAGAATTTGTCATCTACACCTGACAGGGTGGACCAGCAAAATTTTATAAAAATGTTTGCAGACTGGCAAATTCCCAGAACATTTTCTGCAGACCAAGAGAGTTTCATTAAACTTTTTGCAGGATCAAAAATTGTTGCATGAAAGACTTTATGAAAGTTGAAAGGTATTTGGAACTTTCTGCTTTTTGCAAAAATTAAGTTAAACACCATTGAAGCAACTATAGTTGAATGTCATCAAAAAATTCAGAAGGTGGGTTTGAAAAAATGTTACTCCAAATGAAAAAAATAATTATTACCAGGTGAACGTTTGTCTGAAATGTCATTTGAAGAAAAGCCAACTTTTGTTTTCATCAGATAATCCAGGTGCCATTCCCCTTCCAAAAGTTTAAGTAAAGAGAACAGACTTCATCCCCACTTTTCAATAATGTATTATGCTGCAAATTTTCCAAGTGCTGGCAAAGAAACTTGTGCAGACCAGCATCAGTCTGCGCCAACCACAGGTTGAGGAACACTGCTCTGCAACTTTTGTATACATATTACAGTATGAATACACCAGAACAAGAATCAAACACGCGTCCAAAATACACAGCATGTGATGGAGTTGAACAATGAAAATGGCAGGTATACATACTTGAGTGACAGGAGAACCCCAAGGTATGCACTGTAATAGTCGCCATCACCCTCAGCCAAGGTTGGATTTGCTGTCATCCCGGCTTCCACAAAAACCACAAAGTTGGCCTCTTCTTCTTCAGCAGTTAATCTCAGGTGGGCTAATCCAAGGGAAGGAGGTCAATATTTTTCATACCTTACAGTGGAATTGTTGGGGCAACAATCTTGATTGGTTCCAGATAAAAGTTTACTAACTTATTGATTTGAAAATCATACATAAATAAATGCCGCTAAAACAAATATTGAAGCGCAAGATTACATAAATTAAAGTGCCATCAGAAGATAGGAATGTTCACATCAGTGAATTGGTCAATTATTTGCACTCACATTATTCCATACATTTCATGCATCAAAATTGAATTTGGAATAATTCTCCAGTATAAGGAATTTCCCCAAGAAAAGAAGTTTATTAGCAAAATTTCGATTCCTCAAGCAAGAAAATTTTCCTGGAAACCAAAAGTTTCTTAAGCAGGGGTCCACTGTATTATTTACAGCATATGCAAAGGCATAAACACCTTTGGATCCCCCCCACTATAGATTTTTCAGGCTTCAACAAAATTTTTATTTCATCAATTTAATAGTTATTACCAATGGTGTCAATTCTGACCTTCAGCCAGGAACCAATCTGAAATTCCTGACTAAATCTACGTTTTTCCCCAGGGGGAAAACGAAAAAAAAAATTTGCGCACAATATCCCTCAACTTGAAAAAATTGCATAAATGTTTGACTATATGATGAGTATACCTCCAACATTCTTTGTTCGAGCTTCTAAAGTTTGAAAAGATTTTTCCTCCTTATAGATACAATACTGTATATATATATATATATATATGTATATATGCTTCAAATTACGCCATTTAATTAACCTTTTAAAATTATCCAGAATAAATAGGGATGATTTGTCGGAAATGATGTTGCTCTTTATTGCTATTGTACAGTTAGCTGTGTTTCTGGTCCGCGTGGAATCGTGCAGAAATGCAGATAATGAAGCGAATGTTTGAAGGTGAATTACTTTATTTGTATTCCACGACTTGAACATGATGAAGATATGCGAAAGCTCAATTTCATCCTTCATTGTATCAAAATGTATTTCTTGGTCTGGATTATACAGGATAATATCATGCGAGTTCGTAAATATGGTTTTCATAATAAAATCAATCAACTCACCTTGCGCCAGATGAGTTGAGATGGCAAGAATCACCAACAGCAGAAATTTCATCTTTGCCGAATAACACGAGACAAGTTTATATATTTTCTATTCTAAAGAGAAAAATGAGCTTGTTTGCTTGAATAATAGGCCAGTTAGGGTTTTATACAAGAGAAAAAGCCACAATGAATAATTTTATGAGTTCAAAGGTACTGTTTTCATATTTCATTTGAAAATATTGATCAAGCCAGAATGTATTGAATTTTTTAACTACTCATGAAGTATTTATTGTCCAAGAAAAAAAGAATTCGTGAAGGAATCCTCAATGTTTTGCAAAATCTTCAAATTTGTTGTACAGTATTTCCAATAAAGGATAGAGGGTATATCAGCATGCAACAAAAAGTATTGTTTTCAAATAATTTAAAATCAAAAATAAATTTATTCAACATTCACCCTGATGTCTTTTAAATGTCAGCATGGGGATGTGATTCTCAGTTAATAGTATTCTAACTCATCGATATCCCTGGGGAAAAAAAGCTGGATTATATCAATTTTTTAATAAAACGATTTTACCGTGTGTATTCCGTCCCAGGGTAAGGATAAAGTCAAGGACAAAACTGTCCTTGACTTTATCCTTACTGTCCCAGGGTAAGGATAAAGTCAAGGACAAAACTGTCCTTGACAAAACTGTCCTTGAAAGAAACATGCGAATGCGGTAAATTATTAGACGTTCACTCTCGTTCTTCATAGTTGGGCGTGACAAAGGCTGCATATATGTATTTCAGAGCAGACACAATATCGTTCTCATGTGTCAACTCTGCAACAAGATGAAAGGACACAGCATTTGTCAAATTAAATACTGTACAGTACTGTATATATAGGCATGGGTTATGGGTACATGCAGAGTTTTTCATTTTCAGATATGTCAGCAACAAGAAAAATTGACATTTTCTTGGAACTCGTCCATCAAACTGGATTAATGAAAATAACGTTGTCTTTTCTCTCTCTCTCTCTCTCTCTCTGCTGTGCACGCGGTGACAATTTCTTTTCTTCGAATAAATAAATGTACAAAAGACAGCAGTCGAGGAGAAATAGCAAAAAAAAAGTCGTTACTGCTGGGAGAAAGAAGGCGGTGAAGCAAAATGTAAAGCCCTGCGCTGTTACTCGTTTCTCCCCTCCTGCTGTACGTGTCATGGTGCGACTCAAATGGAGAAATGAAGCGTTCACGGCGAAATCCACTGGGTTTTCTCCTTCTTTTCCTTCTTCATTCCCCCACGTTTCGCTCAAGGGAAAAACACAGTCTTTCGGTGTCTCTTTCCCTCCCCCTGCTGCTTGCTTGTGCGTCGCAGGATGTAGGACGAGGCATAGAAAGAAAGAAATCAAGTTTTGAGCAACGTAAAAAGTGGAAATCTTGACTCGGTTTCGACACATTTCAGTGTTTCTCGATTCCATTAGCCAGCCACGAGTCGGGTGTCTGCTGCCGTTATAGTTACTCAGTTATTTGGTTCGTGACGAGAAACTTTCGGTGGAGTTTCATTTTATTCCAGACATCCATCCATGATGTACACTGCTGTGATGCATGCATGTACAGTATATATGTCTGCTGGAATAAAATGAAACTTCACCAAAAGTTTTCCAAAGCTGTCAACTTTTTGAAGCAGTGTTTCTTATTCAAGCTGATGTTGACTTTTGGTGGAGCAGTAACTGCACCAAAAGTGAAGAGCTTATGAGAAACACTGCTTTACCTCATCATCAGTGCTGTTAACATCCCCCTTAAAACTCGTATTAGTCTCTCATCAATCCCATGATAAAATCCCTCTTTTCAGTGATTTATATGCCCAATGAAAAGCCATAGAAAAACTCAGTTTTGTCCTTTCTTTCTTTTTTTTCTTTCTTTTTTTTAATTAATGGAAAATGCTTGGGAAGTTTTTAAACATCGTTTCTTCTCTTATTGAATGATTACGAATGGTTCTCTTTTGGACCCTGGATCATTAATCTAACGGGACTCCATCGATTCCGCGCGGTGACCAAAAATAGTTCACTACCTGGATTTTTCTGGGCATTTTCTCGTCCATCTTTGCTGATTTTCCCGACGAATGTCTGTCGAAATCGAGTCGATAAAAAGGAGAATGATAATTTCATGATAGATCCTTCAAAATATTTAATATCAGATGTCAGACTTTTTTTTTTTCAGAGGTTCTGCTGGGCGCCAAGAGGCAAATTTTTGGATTTCTTGTTACATTCCCCGGTACCAAATCTCTCGGATGTTCATCTGAAATTCGTGACGATTATGCGACCAACTATACTCAGAATACCACGCAATAATTCACAAGGTTTCTCAGCAGTTTTTTAATTTTTCTTATTAAGTGTGTCAATTTTTCGCGCAGAAGAAGATAAATTTACATTTCTGATTTTGTTTTGTTTTGTGTGGAGAATTTCGCCTGAATTCTTCTCAAATATTACGGTACAGTACTTTGGAATATGTGGAGGCTCTGCTGGATTTATGCGAATGCATTTTTTCATCCTGCAGATTCCTTCATTTGATGTGATTCATCGAAAAGTAATTTGAGGACATGATTGTCGAAAATTACAAGAATGCATCGCTGATCTGACAACTTTTTAGAGTTATCAATCCTGTTCAAAAGGACGAGTTATAGACTTATAGTGATGAAGAAAGATGGGCCAAACGTGGAGTGCTTCAATTTCCTCCGTCAGACTTACGCCTTACATATGTTGTAGTATAGACATTTGGTAGAGGATTGAATTTGAGCAAGCTGTCAACCGAAAGTATTTCAACTTTTCCGAGAGACTGCTGTGAACTGAAGTGAAAGAAGGGGTAAATCCTGGAATCATTTTTATATATAATGAAAAATTGTGCAATGGCAAACAAAATAAACATCCAACATTCCAGATGGACAGAGAAAATCCGTGGCGGAATTTCCTACTGTAAAAAACTGCGTGCAAATTTTTAAACATTATTATTATAGCTGTGACCATGGATTCATTTCATAAAGAGAGTTATTTGCTGGTGACTATTTTGGAAATGTTGAAGAGCACTGAGTTCAGTGATAGTGTTCGTCCCTGAGAAGATCATGCACAGGAGTGATGCTGGTTTTACATTTTCTAAAAATATTGCGATTGCGATTCCAGCAGTTCAGTCTTGAAACTTATGGAGTTGTCCAAACTATAAAACGCACATTTATTCTCATCAAATCCACAATATGCAGCGTTCTCTATAGTAATTTAGTTCTTGTTGACTCTGCGCATATTGCTTTTTGTTCAGTAGTTGGATAGTTTATGATTTTTTTGAGGAAAGAAAATTTCTTTGGTAGAATCGGGAATTCAAAATCGCGTTATTAGCCATCCGATTCCTGCATTTGATAAGATGTGATGGAGCGTTAAACATTTGTTGAGCACTTTCTTTTGCAAAATAAGTTTTCGACTATACATCCTCAACTTTTTGGTTATTCACGTATCCGTTGACAAAATAATTCATCATTGATCTTACAACTTGCAGGAGTCATTATCAATCCTGTTCAAAAGGTGGAGATGGGGAGGACATAATATTTTCTTATCTTTTTCTGGTCCTGCTGCGCACTCGTGTCTGTGCCATAAGAGTCCAAGACTGAGGTAGTCCTCAAACTGAGGAGCACTCATCCCTCTCTGCTGCATGGTTGCCCCGCCCCTTGTCCAACAGCCCCTTCCCCTGGTGGGGACGGATTGTCATGGATCTCACTTCTATAAGAGTACAGTAAGGTTTTAATGTCTGTCAAGGACTATCCACAGACGTGAGGCCTTACTGTACCCAGCAGCAGGACGGATTCTCCGGGTACGATTTCCTTAGGGACGAATCCTCCTGAAGCAAAACTAAACAAGAACAATTTAAACCATTATAACCAACCCAAAATATCCGATGAGTGTCGGTTCTCAGCGCATGCCTTAAGGAATTGTCTGAATAATTCAAGTACGTAAAAGGTAATTGATTTTTTACGCGAAAAATGTCCCTCAATGAATTGCAAATACCATTTTCGAATATTTCAACTTCGAATTCCGGAAAATTAACGGGCACACACCAGAACTCGTGACACGACGTTATGGTACAACTTCCACTCAATGCAGCTCCATTCAACGCTGCCTCTTTCACGCCACCCTTAGGAGCGCCAGCCTCTCATTGAGTGACTTCAACTGTAATGCTTTAGTGGTGTAAAATGTAAACTGAGACTCCAAGGGACAAATAACATAGTGCACATATAAAACACCTTTTTTAAATAACTAAAAATATATGGTACTTTCCTGTCATCTATGTACCTCATTCCTAGACCACACTACCATCCAGACAAATCTTAGGACAAGTTCATAATCCCAATGACCTACCAGAAACTGTGAATTTTTTTTTCTGCAATCTGCTGAAACTGATGTTGGGAGGCAGTTAGGTAAAGTTAGGTTAGGTCAGGTTATGTAAATTGAAAGATATTTGATATTTGGGAGGCAATTAGGTAAAGTTAGGTTAGGTCAGGTTATGTTAATTAAAAAATATCTGTAACTAATATAACATAACCAGACCTAACCTTACTTTACCCAACTGCCTCCCAAAATCAGATAAAAATAATTACAGTATTTTCTGTTCATGTTTGGAAGTCATTTGCACAAATCAGCAGAATTGATGGAATACCTTTGAATGTGTTTACCACTTTTGGCAACCACTAAACACTTCTCATAAAATAACAAGAATAAAACATTAAGAATGCTGCAAGTTCATGTATTGAATAACGAGTTTGATGAGAGTGATGTTTCTGATATTGAAGTGAGTCGAACGCAGTTATTTCTTACTTTCTGTTCTTCAGTTCTCGTCAACCTTTTGTGTTCTAGGACACTAAAACTACAGAAACCAAAGATGATGCCTCCAAGCAAGACTCATCACAACGGAAGATAACAAATAACAAGAATAAAACATTAAGAATGCTGCAAGTTCATGTATTGAATAGTATGCTATCTTCCTACACCATTCTTCAACATGTAATTCCTATCTGCAAGCATACGCAGTTCATGAAGTCACTCATTTGTGGTGCTAAGGGAGGGAGTGGAAGGAACAGCCCTTTAGGGGGGCAGCCTGGAAGTGAGTTGCATTG